GAGAAGATTTTTGGGGTCCCGAGGTGATTTTTGGGGGCATAGAAGGGTCTGACCCGTGCCCCCCACCCCTCCCAGGTGGTCTGCAGCACCTCGGCCCCAGTGTGGGAGGATGCTTTCCGCTTCTTCTTGCACGATCCCCGCAATCAGGACGTGGATCTGCAGGTGAGACCCAAAAACCCCGAGATCCCCCCAAAATTCCCCATTTTTCCCAATTTTTCCCCATTTTTCCCAATTTTTCCCCGTTTTCCCCTCAGGTTAAGGACGATCCCAGGCAGACCCTGCTAGCGTCGCTGTCATTTCCCCCCATTCCGCTCCTCATTTTTCCCCATTTTTCCCCATTTTTTCCCCATTTCTCCCCATTCTCCCCCCGATTTTTCCCATTTTTCCCAATTTTCCCTCATTTTTCCCCATTTTTCCCCATTTTCCCCTCAGATTAAGGATGATCCCCGGCAGACCCCGCTGGGTTCGCTCTCATTTCCCCCCATTCCCCTCTCTATTTCCCCCCATTTTCCCCCATTTCCCGATCCCCCTTTCCCTATTTTCCCCCAATTTTCCCCATTTTTCCCCATTTTCCCCTCAGATTAAGGACGATCCCCGGCAGACCTCACTGGGTTCGCTGTCGCTGCCGCTGTCGCGACTCCTCGAAGCGCCGGAGCTGACCCTGGACGGGCCCTTCCCGCTCCAGGGCTCGGGGCCGGGGGCACGCCTGCACCTCAAACTGGTCCTGAGGGTGAGGAGGGGTCTCAGAGGGTTTTTTTGAGGAATTTTGTGGGGTTTTGAGGATTTTTGGGAGGAATTTTTTGGGTTTTTTGAGGGGTCGCGCCCCCGAGCTGACCCCGACCGGGTCCTTCCCGCCACAGCCGCCGGGGCTTTCCCGCACCTCAAACTGGTCCTGAGGGTGAGGAGGTGTCTCGGACGGGCTTTTTGGGGAAATTATCAGGTGTTTTGGGGTCTTTTCTTGGGGAATTTTTGGGTTTTTTGGGGGATTTTTGGAGGGTCCCGCCCCCACACTGACCTCGACCGGGCTCTTCCCGCCACTGCCGCCGGGGCTTTCCCTCACCTCAAACTGGTCCTGAGGGTGAGGAGGGGTCTCGGACGGGCTTTTTGGGGAAATTTTGAGGTGTTTTGGGGTTTTTTTCTTGGGGGATTTTTGGGTTTTTTGGGGGATTTTTGGAGGGTCCTGCCCCCACACTAACCTCGACCGGGTCCTTCCCGCCACAGCGCCCGGGGTTCTTCCGCACCTCAAACTGATCCTGAGGGTGAAAAGGCGTCTCGGAGGGGTTTGGGGGATTCTTTTTTTTTGGATTTTGGGATTTTTTGGGGGATACTTTTTGGAATTTTGGCATATTTTTTTGGAATTTTGGGGTGTTTTGGGGATTTTTTTGGGGTTCCCGCCTCTTCCCACCCTCGCAAGCTGACCCTGACCGGGCTCTTCCCGCCGCAGGTCCCGGGGCTCTCCCTCACCTCAAACTGGTCCTGAGGGTGAGAAGAGGTCCTGGACGGGCTTTTGGGGGAAATTTTGTGGGGTTTTGAGGATTTTTGGGAGGAATTTTTGGGGTTTTTTGAGGGGTCCCGCTCCCGAGCCGACCCTGACCGGGCTCTTCCCGCCGCAGCGCCCGGGGTTCTTCCGCACCTCAAACTGATCCTGAGGGTGAGGAAGGGTCCCCGAGGGGCTTTGGGGGGATTTTTTTTTTGTTTTGGGATTTTTTGGGGGATACTTTTTGGAAATTTGGCATATTTTTTGGGAATTTTGGCGGTTTTGGAGGATTTTTTGGGGTTCCCGCCCCTTCCCACCCTCACGAGCTGACCCTGACCGGGCTCTTCCCGCCGCAGCTCTCGGAGCTCTCCCTCGCCTCAAACTGATT